TTACTTGTGTTGATCCATCGATCGATAATGGAAAAAAGTGAGAAAAAAAAAAAAAAAAATTCCTCTCGTGCAAAAATGTTCCAGGAAACGTAACAAAAACAGCGTGATAAGTATAACAATAATAGCTCGAATGAATCAAAAATATACATGTACAGGGGAGTCACGAAGCTCTCGCGCGCTCGCCTCTGTACCTATCTCTGTCCGCGCTCCCCGATCTTCATTAAGGGTCGCTGCTCTCTCGCCTGCCAAACAGAGTCCCCTCGTCTATACATCCACGCCATGAATCCCCGGCACGCCGATTTTTTCCTTTTTTTCTTCTTCTTCCCCTCTTGAATCCCGAAGTGGGTACACCGGGTCCTGGAAAGAGGTATATATGTACATATATATATCCTGTACGTGTGTATTTACAATATACCGGATAACGGTATACGTATACATAATAGGTGATGCCCACACGTATACCATATACATATATACGTATAATATACAGCGTGGAAGAGGCGATCGTATATGGATCTAGGCCCGCGTGACTCTCGTATGTATACATGTATATACGGACCGTGTCCTTTTCTCTCTTTGCTCGTTGGTATTTAAAGCCAACAGGAGACGGATATAGTCGTGGTGGAAAAAAAAAAAAAAACAGGCGAGAGAGAGCGCCGCCGGTCATGGAGGAATGAAATTCGAGACGTGCCTTTGCGCGATTATTAAACCCCTGGCATCCGTGCCCCATCCCCAATATTATATCCTTCCATTACGTGTGTGTTAATTGTATACATGTACGCTCAAGTCGCCACGTGGCCTTTAAACGAACGATAAGTGTGTATACGTGAGTGTGCGAGTCTTCTTCTTATTGTGTTGTGTATATATATATATATATCGTCAATTAACAAAGAGTCATTAATTTGCCGCGTTAACGTGTCCTTCGCGTGCCTTTGGAATGTCGATTAGAAACGATCTCTCTTGCAATGCGTACTTGGGAATGACACACGGCTGTTTTTTTTTTCCTCCTTGGAAAGAAAAAAAAGAAATAAAATGATTTAATCCGATTGTGGGGAAAAAAGCCAACGCTTGCGAATCAAATCTCGACTACATGTTTATATATAGGTATTGCACCAATCTATATTTCGCCAACTCGATCTACAATAGCGCGGTTAAAAGACGCGATGATCTCGAAAAGAGTATACGAGCGATCGAAGCAGGAGAAGGCGGAAGAGGGAGGCATTAGTCATTCAGCTCGTTTCATCTTTCTGTCTCCCATTCGGTGCACCGTATCCTAAGTATAGGCGTGTATGCATGCATGCGCGAAGAATCCGATCGAAAACATCTGCGCTATCCCGTGCTACCTCGCACTTATATACGTATAATGTTCGTGTATGATGCGTATAATATAATATACGTATACATATATAATAGCCAAAGATCCACGTATGTATACATGTAACATATATTAGCGAGTGAAGGTGCTCGAGGGCGTGCAGTTTATCATTGTTATTGCTATTACTAATATCGACTCTCTTAACTGGGTATGTGTATGCCGAAAGCTCCATGTAGCTGTATATAATTATGTACAATTACATATGTATAGGCGTAGCGCGGATTAATCACCGATGATATGCGTTGTTTTTGTGATTCGCGTCCACTTTTATTTCACGCAGGCACCTACGATTTTATGGGCTGCACGCCAAGTATAAATACCTATAGGTTATATACTCTTTAACACATTGATTATTCGATTTGCATGTCATGCTTTCCCTTCCCCCTCGCCGCCTCTTATAGATTCTATAATTCATGATTCAATTAAACGAGATTGCAAGTACCCAGTCACATTTGTCGATTCTTGAATGCTTGAGTGAGAAAAAAAAAAAACCATTACAGGCTATTAAAAAAAGAAGGTGGTATGGTTTATATAGAAGAGGGTAAGGAAAGGACGAACGATTGGTGTTGATTGACGCGCAACGGAATTAAAAGTAACAAATTAATGCAACCGAGCGTGTAATGTACGTTGTATGACCGTCATTGTTGAATCGGATTCGGAGAAAACATCGGCAACATATAATATACCGTACCACATTACGCAGTTTATATAAATTGTTTAATAAATCGGGCATGTTTATAATAGTCGTGATTGACGATGGTCATCCAAAAGTAGAATCCACTTGTTAAATACACAATTATTATATCCATAGGATGTACCACCTGCTTTGTAAAGGAGAGCGACTGCTGTTTGTAAATTTTCATCCAAAAGTTTTTTGTTTTTTCATTCAGAAGTTTAATTGATGATCTTTACGTGTTTTTTTTTTACGTTTAATCTATCCCTCAGTATAGAAAAAAAGCTACGTCATTGAAAAACAATTTTTATCAAAATTTAATTTTATCCTCGTATTAAATAATTAGAAATATAATATTATTAGTCATTGCAATATTAGACACTTTAAAAAAAAAAATTTTCTCATCAAAACAATTGATTGTAAATGCATGTGATTTATGAAACGAGACATTTAATTGTAAATCTCGACCAACTATCGTCTTGACGAAACAAAAAAAAAAAACGAACTTTTTTCAATTTTCCAACGAATCGGTGAGCACACGCGCAAAGACCTACATATCCCACGGCGCTTACGAAACTGCGTTGGCTTTCACGCACACCGGCTCTATAAATTTTGCCTCGGATTCTAAAGGCAGAGAAAAATAAACCCCTTTGATCGGATCGCGACGCGAGAGACTGTCAACTCTTGTAAAAAAAGTTGAAGGATCACAATTCCTTTTTTTTTCTCCGAGATTTTTAACAAAGAAAAAATACTTTTGAATGTATTGCTATTTAAAACAACAGCCATTCAAACGTGAGTGCCGTTATTATTACCCATAAAATCAAACTCGATCTAACGAGCGCATATTTATATATAAAGTATGTATACTTGTACACCGAAATCTGAAGTACATCATTGCGAAGTCAAGAAAATCTCATACTCCGCCTCGACACAAAGTCATTTCGTTATATTGTGTACACGTAATGTCTATATGATGTATGGCGTTCACGACTTTATAACACGTATACAAGCGTATCGGCAAGAAATCGGTGTCGCAAGCGAGCGTTCTGATTTCGATGCGGTGGATCGATCACATCGTACTTGGGCCGTGAGGGTATATCATACTCGCAGCCGGAGGAAGGAAAAGCCGAGAGTGAGCCTCGCCTGCGTCCTCCCGACATTATCAGGAAAACAAAGCCTAGCAAAAAAAAAACAAAAAAAAAAAAAAAAAAACGATTGCGTGCCGATCGCGAGCCAACGGGAAATGGGGAGATGGTACATGTTTGTGTGCCGGGCGTTCTTAATTCGCGACAATTGAATTTTGCGGACTGGACTCGTTAGCAGTTGTTGCACGGGTTTTGATTGGGTTATTGCGTTGATTCGCGTGTGCTTGGACGTGGAGGGAAGAATTAGACATACCAATATTGTACGGGTGCTAAGATGGGCTTGTTTGTTGACCGTAAAAGTTGCGTGGTTGTATTTTAATTTAATGGCGATTGTAGCTATTCGTCGTGATTTTTCCCGTTTAAATAATCACAGTTGTTATTTATTTATTTTTTTAATCGACAATATGCGATCAATATGTCAATCTATCGTTGTTCAAGAAATACATTTATTTACTAGGATTGAATTACGACAAAGTAACTGTAATGATACTGTAACTGTAAGATTATTATTATTTTTTTTTTCTTTCAAATCAAATGATACTCACTTACGTATACCCCGATAATTAAAAATAAAAGCTTGAATTAACACTTTAACGGTAGTACTTGGAAACAAATCCTCTAACGAGTCGTGCACACACTGATGTTGTAGGTACACACAAAAATGTCACACAAAATTGCAAAAGTGCATTGCGTCGTCGTGCGAAACAAAACTCGTTCGTTCGTCGTGCGCGTAATGGTGTGGAGGGGAGAACGAAGGAGAGAGAAAGAGCAGCTTGTAGTGTTCGTGATGGTTTGATTTGCTCTCTGGTATTTTGACTCGATGGCAAACATGATGCAAGTGTCGGTGACATTGATTTTTTTTTTTTTTTTTTTTTTTTATCGAAAGCCTATAACGAACCTACAAACCCTTGCTATATTTGCACCGTTATACATTGGCTGCACCTCATCCTACATCCGCAGTCCCTCTAAAAACAGTTGTACCCCTGTGAACCCAGACACTATCATCAGCGACCAGCGACCTCTTCTTTCCCTCCAAGTCCTGATCCATAGATACCCTCCACCATAATTTCAAGCATTGATCTTGAAAATTTTAACGTATCTGACATCATTTTTTCATTGTTACGAGGCTACGTGAATTCCCAGACAGTATTTATATACGTGGATCGATCGCAATCGCGAGTCTGATTGACTGCCCGACCATCATGAATAATCGCGGTTCCATTGATTTTACTCCTATACGAACTTTAGCATTGTCACATTGTCCGGCGATTATCTAATAATACCCCTCCATGGCATTGACACAAGAGGATGCAATGATGCAAAACAATTGATTTACAGCAACGTGTACAACAAAATCTGTACATCAATCCCGAAAGTCAATCAAATAACAACGAGGGGCTGCACGCTCTTGAAGTCATTAAAAAAAAAACTACGGTAGACAACATTCTGATGCTGCAAAAGTCTCGAAAAAACGTTGTACTTTTTATATCGAGACTTGAAAGGTGCGCAGTCCCTCGAATCAAATAATCGATCATATAAATCTTGCCATGTACACGAAAACTGCAAAAAAACCTACCTTTACTCCAGCTCCGTTGGTACCAAAGACAAAAAAAACCACTCGCTATCTCCGATGTATCCCGCAAGCTCGCAAGCACGTTGCTCGACCGATAACGACACCTGGCGGTGATAACTCGGGCCCTGTCGGAGCCCCCGCTGTATCACCCATCACCGACCGGTATCTCCATACTGCAGCAAACTGCCGTATCCAAGCATCCCCTAACGAGAGCCCACCCCTTGTTTATTCCAGGCTAAACGGGAGGCCGCCAGTGTGCAGTGGGAAGAAGCCACCCCTGCCGCCCCAATCGCTGCGCACGAGTTCATCGGCGAGCTCCGGTGGCGTTGGGTACACAAGCGGCTACGGCTTCGGCGGCGTAACAAGCAGCGTAGGCGTAGCTGGCACATCGTCGCGCAGACGCGCCGCCACGGACCTCGGCAACCCGGCGGCCATCGAGATGGCGAAGGCGCGCGCCGCGATGCTCGCCGGCCAGGATCACCCGCAGCACCACCACCAACAGGAGAATCAGCGCCAGTACCAACACCAGCACCACCAGCAACAGTACCCGCCCAGGCCGGTCGGCCTCCTCGAGACGGACCTCGACGCGCCCGTCGATCCCGAGGAGGCCAAAAAGGCCCGCAGCCTCCTCAACCTGAACCACCACCACAACGGACACCCGCCATCCACCCTACAGCACCACCAAGCTCCGGCACTCTCGATAGCCGGGCCCGATGGTCTGCTGCGCTGTGGCGACGACGACGCGCTGCTCCTTGACCACGACGACGTGGAAATCGACGTGGCCGACGACCACGACAACGAGGATGTGAGCAACGGTGGTGGCCCGAGCTGCTGCAGAGCAGCCGCGAACAATCACCACCACCACCAACATAGAGCCAAGCAGGTGGTCGAGACGGCCGCTGCCCACCAGCGCCCACACAAATCCATGGAGTTCCTCCTCGACAAGGAGAACCTACACTTTGTCAAGGTAAGAGCCTCACTATTTTTTTCTTTTTTTCCTCCCCCCCCCCCTCCACCCTTTTTCTCATCGCTGGGGTTACTGTGGTGGTGTTGGCTCGCTTTTCTTTCTACGTGCGGAGGTGATGGTTTTTCTCTCCAGGATCTCCGAGTCCGGGACTCGTCGTTTACGGTATACACCATCTTCTTCTTTCCCTCTTCGTCATCGTTTCCATGTTGCTTCGCGTACGTCATTGTCCCACAACTTGCTCGCTAATCTCTTCCATTTGTTCCTCTGTGTATACGTGTTACCATAGGGGCTAAATAACGTGCAGCCACATACATGTACGAATAAAGAATCTACGCTTCGTCATCGTCAGCTTCACCGTAATCTCTGGTCATGGGTATCCGTACATAAACGTGGCGCACCCGGGCAAGAAGTAATTCATCAAAATCTTTTTTCCAGCGGGCGTCGATCGCGTACGACGTTAACCCATTCCCGTTTGACGATAGGCCAAGAATAATAATACGCACCCAATCCTGTGATCACGACAACAAGGACGACGCGTGGTGCGGTGGGAGGATAAAGAGGATAACGAGGGTAAGGCGCCACACGTAAAATACACCAGCCCCATGTGCCCCGTTGTCGTCGCGTGTAGATAACGACGAGTCTTTATTGTGTCGTCTACTTCTTCGATTTTTCTAGCAACAATCTCGTTTCCGCTCCAGCGCGAGCTGTTGACGTTCCGCAAGAGAAAACGATAGAGAGGGAGGGTAGATTAAGGGTTGATTGGATTTTGCTCGGAAACGGCTTAGAGGGGGATGGGGTTTTATTGCGTGCCAGAGTTAAGTAATAAAGGGTAGGGTGGGGGTGCAGTGCAGCGAACAAGACGAATAGGGTATACACGTATAATAATACATACATACATAGGAAGTGATTGCGTCGCTCGAGAGAGAGGCAAATTACGTAATGGGTAACGTCGCGTGTGCCCGTTGTATAACAAAGACGGGGCTCTGGTGGTGGGTTCAATTATTTTTTTTCATCTCTCGACGCGCTCGTTCGGTGTCAATCGGACCACGCAGTCTATCGTGCATATACACACCTGTACACCGCACAAAAGAGCTCGGCCGAGCTGCTGCTAGTGGTTGATGGATTTTTACCACCACCACACCACCCCCCCTTCCTTCTCTCTCTTTATAAAAGGAAATTCATGTTGCACGGAAGCGTTTGTCCGACGAGGGTCCAGTTTTTCTTATACCATGAGGGAACAGAGCTGGATTCTCCGCGTGTATATACAATAGCCCCTGCAGTTTATTGCGTGGCTAATGAAGAGAGGAAAGGAAACAATAAGGGAAGAGAGAGAAAGTGCCGAATGCATATTCAAATGTGTGTGTCTTGCCCCCCGCTCCCGCGCGCGCCCTTGACCCAATTGCGTTATTGATTCGACTTCCACTTCCTAGGGCCACTGTGCTTTTTTTTTCTCCTCCTCCTCCTCCTCCTCCCGTGGGATGTGGAAAGTATAACGTTTGTATGTATACCAAAGGTTTCCCCTTGTGTTTGGTGGTCTCGTGAAACACGGTTCGGGGTAGCAAACGTATATCAGGGTGGTTGTTTTTTACCGTGAAATGGTACAATCATCGTATACATGACAGAGGTGACGTTTCTACTTTTATACTTTTGTGTATATTTTTAATGGACACGCGCACCCCCGAGTGACGCTTGTTTCACGGTACGTCCGCGTGTCCTTTCCGATCAAATAATGAAGAATCCTTGGTCCCACGTGCAGTGCGAGCTTAATACATCCACGGGTTCTTCGTATTTAAAGTGCACGAAGAGAAGAATACTGTCGCAAGAAGTTCACACGCGCGTATAAAATATACACATGTACCTACGCGGCGGACGCAACGAAGTGGTCCTTCTCCGCGCACAACAATGGTATATATAGTCGTTGGAACCATGCATGAGCACTTCCAGCCATTTCAAAATACACGCGCTTTTGCATCCCTTGTAAAACTAAAAAAAAAAAAACAAAAAAAAAAAAAAAGGAAACGAAATGAAAATACACTTTGGCAAGAGGCTCTCTTGCGTTGATTAATGCACGCGTCACTTTTGTCCGCGCGTCTTTATGGCTTTGTATTTTTCTCTGCTCGCTCGTTTCGCGAAACGCCAAAGAAAAACGCGACGGGTCGGAGGGGATTGGGGGGAGGGTAGAGAACAGAGAGGCGCCGGATAAGCTCCGTCGTCGCATCGCCTTGTATGTACTCGGTGAGCGCGCAGCAGCAGACTCGGGCCGTCGAAATCGATAAAGACCTTTCCCGCCTCTCATCTCGCACATCTCTGGCTGCTGCTTATGATACACGCAGCTCAACATTACTTTACACCTGGTTCCATATAGTGACGTTACATGGGCTTTTGACGCGCACGACTTATTTCGATGATCCGAGGATACTATTTCTTCATTCGCTCCAACCCATCGAGTGCTTGGATGATTATTGGTCCAACTTTATCATGGGGGAGCTTAAATTGCACCTCCCGTTCTCTCGTCTGAGGAGTCGGTACCGCTGTTAATATGCTCCCGAAATTCTGCTGTACGTGTTTTTACACCTTCATATCTGTATATTTGTATAATGTAGGGTTGATAACAAGTTGCGCGGGAACGACGGAGAGAGACGGAGGGACAAGAGCAAGTTTGAATTGATGCGCAGTGCACAAGTTTGACACTTGTACCTACAGGACAGTGTTTTATTACTGTAGGTCCTTTGATTAGTTCCTCTCGACCGTAGCAAGTTTGTTGATTGTCGCTGTTATTGTGTTCCCCTTATCATGATAATGATTTCCATGGCTTTGTTTGAGTGTTCATTGTATAGGTAAATACAGGTGATGGGATTTGCAAAATTTGTACTAAAGAAAAAAAATCCACCCTCGCCTACTCTACAAAGTCAAGTGGAGGCGCCCTTGTACACGTTCGTGTGCCTGTATAATATATATATATACACACGAATAAAAACAACAAACAAGACGGGGCAGGGGGGCTCGTTGTTTTTCATCGACGGTGCGCTCTTCCGTGAAGGGGTGGGTGACTACTGCCGCTCCCGTTAGTTTTTAAGCATCAGGGGGGGACGGGGCTGTTGACCCGTGTAGCGAACGACAGCATAAATATACACACCCATGTACCTGCGAGGGAGGAACGAAGAAGGTCCGATGCACAACGGGGAACTAAAAAAGTTTTCATACACAAGCTTTATCTACCACGGGATCCGAGCCCCGCGTTCAACTTCTTTTCCCACCCATTGGCTGGGGCATCGACTTTTTCCCCTCTCTTTCGCCCACTTGGCGCTCTATGCATATATACAGCTGCTTCTACGCGTAAATAATTGCGATCTCGGGGGCGTTCACCGGTTCAGCGGTAGATCTTAATCTTCGCGATTACGAGGCTCATTGATGGGTTATTCTTATTGCATTACGGGTGTGCGCAGGCTTAGGGTTTCATTTTTCGATTTTCTCGGCGGAGGGACGTTATCGCTGGAGGCGCCTTAAAGAGGGCTGGTACCAGTAGCTGGAGCTGAATTTATTTATTTTTTTTTTTTTCGTAACTTTTTTTATAATTTGTTAGAGCGCTTTGGAAAAGTAAACTGACCCGTCCTTCGACTGATTTTGCGTTCATCTCGCCGCGTCCGTTATCTCTTGTGGTGCGCTTGCGAGTATAACTTAAAATGTTGAGCTACTGAGTATCACGAGAGGAAAATAAAATATTTTATCATGACGAACAAAAAGAAAGAAAAAAAACGTATAAACGTGCCCCTAAAAGAATGAAACAAGAGACGCGCGTAAAGGAGCAACAGTCCAACCAACACTGCCACTGTACGATATACCTGTACACACCACTGGCAAATCGAAAAACCAAACACCCACACACCGACGGCATAACTAAACGACTATAGTCACTAGGGGGTGGCGATGGGTTGAAGGGGGGGGGGTGGTCTAAAGCTCCATCTCGGGTTTATTTTGCCCAGCGGGTATCCAGGACGACCACGTGCAAATGCAAATACATGTACATGCAAACACACGAATGTATAATATGTATAGATAATACATGTACACACGTATACGTAAGCTTGGGACACTGCACGCGCTCGATTTCCTCTGCCCTGCAGCCGCCACCCCTCCCCCGTTGGCATATTTCCCTCAGTCGTGCCGCGCGCCTCTGTCCTCTTGCATCTGCGTTCCCCTCTCTTTTTTTCCCTTTTCTCTCGCAAAGGAGCGGGGGGAGTTTGAAAAATGTGCCGCGATCGGCTCTACCCGATAGGTAACTTTCACGCCATATAAGTGGGCGGTACGCCCGGGTATGGCTCATCGCTGCAACGTGACGCGAATTTCCGCGAGAGAGCGGCTTTCATCTTGTTAGTGCAGTGAAGCGAATAGAATTTAGGATTTTTCTAGTGTCGATACTCCTCCACGTGGGGAGTTTTGGGGAGTAAGGGGGAGGGGTGTGCCATCACCCTCGCAAGTTTTGGGGAGAAAGTAGGCATTACTTTCAACATACACTTACATGCCGGCACAAATATACCTCTTACGTCGTCCGACGGAGCTGCAACTTCGTGCAGACTCGATTAACGAGGAGTACATGCATCCAGAGGTGGTACACTTCGTTCAGGTAAATGTATATACTGTTACTTTGTTCATAATACGTGCAAACTTACTTGAGGAAAATATCGATGCTCTACGCTTTGTAACTGTTGGCTTGAGCTTTTTCGTGCCTCAAAAGCTCCTTCGAACGAGGATTGTTTCGATAAAGGTTTAATAGGATTTTATTTTAAAAAATTTGCTCGATAATTTGCTTGGATTATTAAACGAAAAAATATAAATTTGCCACATGTATTAAAGTGCACGTATAAAAGAGAATACATTTTGCGATTGTCCACGCACTCAATATACGAAGCTATGCACTTGCACGAAGAAGAGAACGAGAATATTGCGAATGAAATCGATACCAAGTCGATCGGTGTACTTGCCTTACCCTTGCAGCGTCCCCACACGCTTACACTTGCATTATTGTATCATCATTCGCGTATACGTAGGTATGTGGTACTCCATACAAACGTGCAATTCCACTCGCACGAGGCTATAACGTGTATTGTTGTATAGTATCCAATGCTAAAAGTTGCTTATAAACGTATTCATTACAATATGCATGACGAGCCGTAGCCTGAACTTGAAAGCAGAAAATCGTTTGCCTCGACTCATTTTTTTTTTTTCCTTCTTGCTGCACAATACACACACATGATGCGTACAAGTTTTCTAAAAGTTTTTGCTACCGCGAGGAGGAAAAAAATGAAAGAAAAAAAAAGTCTCGTCCGGACGTCTCACTCTTTTCCATGCATATATATTTATGTCACGTTACATTGACCGTCTTTGTATAATATACAGTTGTAAAATCTCAACCTGTTTGTAAATGCATTTCTCCGCGTGAGTAAGTATACAAGTATATTTGAAAAAGAAAAAACTACAAAGACTCGATTATATTCCCTCTTACCTCGTGGGTATTCCGTGTATATTTATGTATACACACGGCCACTTTTCATAATTAATGAGATGACCAA